AATTTCATTAAGGTCACGAAATAATACCATCATTATTCATAGTTCTTGTGGAAGTCATGTAAAGAGACATTTCGTATACAATAATGTTCAGGGAAATAAATACAAATTTAGATCAAAAGTGAAAGTGGAATTCAAGGTAATGTTTTGTCTTTCACAGTCAAGTTAAGTTGATGACAGAGTTCACTCACGTATTTGTAATTATGAACGACATTGTTTCCCTTTTTCCCTGTGTGATTTTATCAAGATTTATCTTATCCACGTTTTCAGTGTGGATCTATATATATACACCCCCCCCCCCAAATTTCTACCAATTTTTATTTCACTGTTATTTTTGGATGTGTAGTCAATCAAGCGTTTGAACGGATGTCAATAGTCAGTGTAATAAAAATATTTTTTTTAAGATTGTTTGCACCAGGTAAACAGTTAGTGTTATCACAAAATGCTAATTCATATTTTATTCTACTAGTTAATCTACTGATATTTGAGATACATAACCGGTATTGCTTTTTCCCTTGCTGATACAATTACTGCAGGTTACTGACACATCTGCGACCGAATAGATATCGCTGAAATGTTGTTACCAACACCTCTTCCCTCCTTGACCAGATATCCCTCCTCCTAGAGACAGGTCTGGCACTTGACATTATTAGGGACCTGCCACGCTTTGCCATAAACTGATAAATTGTACCGGGAATTTTCCCCCCACACACTCATCATTCTGTCACTTTCTGTAACTTGCTGACAAAACCCATGACCCTTCAGGCTTTCAGGCCCTTAATGCATGAGTCATGAAGGCAAGCATGAACTACGCATGCTTCCCAGATGGGTGCTGTAAACGCTTTTTTTATTCACCTTGAACAGGATGACAAGGGGTACCCAATAAACTAGCCCCCTCCGGGGCAAATATATATATAAAAAAAAAAAAAAAAATACCACGTGCATTTCCCCTCCGCCCCTACACCAGCTGGACACAGTGTTAAGTATCCAATAACCTATAATCAATGTTTGTTTTTCTCCGACGCATTAACTCGAGCTAAGTTTAATCGTCAGCGACACTGCCAGGGATGATGCAGATGACACACACACGATTAATGCTTGAGGTACGCAGTAGTAGTAACACTCAGCAATAGAGAATCTTAAACTGTTTTACGGTTTCCTTGTTGTGGGGCTGTAAATAAGCTGATGCTAGGAGGTGTGGAGTGTTCTAGACCAGAGGTTTTTGGGTGTTTGCCACACGTTACTAGGTAGGTACTTGGTTCAGGTGCATCAGCATAATTTCCCGACCACATCCACCAGTACACTCACTTCATTCTGCTGCTCCGACAGAAACACTTGCTTCTCTTGACAGTGTTTCTTGTTTACGCTTTATTCGATTTATTTATTCGGGTGCATCACCTACTTCTTATCATTACACCCGTTTCCACCATACAACAGAGGGATTGTACTCTTGGCCTACTGAGGTGTAGACAGAGTAAGTAGATAACAAGCCATTAAAATCATTTGGTGACATTCGAAGACTCTACAAATTACCGATCAGGTGAGCTATCGATCAGGTGGAATAATTGCATAAAATATGATATGGTTCCAGGTAAATGTTATTTTATTTTTTTACTAAATACTTCCGTAATTAATAAGTTAACGACTGTACATTACTTCACTATATAGCATAGACTTATAAAAGTAGTGATACCTACAACAAACTTCACCCACGACGAGATGGCAACTTAAAAAAAAAAAGAGCACAAATCGGCTCTAAAGTGACAGTGACAACTCTCATCAGCTCGGCCAAATTCTTAAACTCCCGGATACAGTATACGATTTTTTCTTTCGACATTTTCTTTTTTATATTACATTTTGTCTGTCTGTTCATGTGTGCCATATAAAGTGACTGCTTGCCTGAAAACCAAAATATATATTTCAGTGACGTTAGACAATACAGGCGGGGGATGGAATAAATGATGTTCCGAAGCGTAAGATGATTTAATTAAACAATTAAAAACTCAAGAGAGAGATAACAGGAAGCTGAAGGATATCTCCCATGCTCCATCGACCATCTCGTTCATAATACTGATTAGCGTATCGGTTCATCTTTCCAGGGCTATATTTACCATCCCCGCTACTGTGGTTAAACTTACAGCAGACTCAAGGGGGATGGATGTAAGTCATAATTCTAAGGTGAAATAAACAGGACTTGTATTTAAGGGGAAGGAGGCTGAAAATTATGTCATACGCCCGTCATTCTATGTGTTTGCGCTGAGAGATTCCTGCTAGCTGAACTAAACTGGCATACAGCATTGCAACAGTCTCTCATGTTTAAACTATGAACAAATGTAGGATATGTTGCCTGCCACGTACCCAAGGAGTATACGCCCCCCTACGATGCCCACTAGTGTACGTGTTGCCTGTATGGTGTACGTACGTGTTAGTTGCCATGCCCTCCGGAATAGATATTACTCGTCAAGCTTCCAAAAAGTAAATGTTGCTTACATCATCACATGGGGTCACATTCTTCTCCCACACAAGTGATGGAGTGGGAGGTGGGATGGAGAGGCGCGGGTCCAATTGTATCCTGACGCTACACACACCGGCACATAGTAAACATTGGCTCTGTTCCCAGCACTGCGACCTCAGACACCTGTGCTACTAGTCACGTCACTTGTATTTCTTTTTTACCCATTCACTTTTTTCGGACTTCGTTTTACTTTGCATATAATCATTTTTCAATTTTGTTTTTTCTTCTATATTTTTCTCTTTATGTGTTGTTTATGTGTCTGTTTTTTTCTTTTCTTCGTCTGTTTGCTGTTCTTCCCTCATTCAAATCTCTCTATTTCCTCTTCTTCTTTCTTATGCTTAGCCGTGAATACCTTCCTCTGAGACCTTAACAATATACCCTTAATTAAGCATCAATTTCAATTTTTTATTCCTAGATAGAGGAAGCGGGATCCTAGTGCCGTCACTTGGTACCCCTATACAATGACACCAGAAGCATCTGGCAAGTGTGACAAGTATATACAGTATAAATATTATAAAGGGGCTTACTAAAGCCTAAGGAAGGAAGGATATTCCTTTAACACATAATCAATGTTATTTACAAAATATCTGGCCAGTATGGGGAGGATCATCGTGTCTCCGTCAGGGGGTCGTGGGGTGGTGGTCCAGCAGGCGTCACGGAAGCGTTGTGTGTGGGGACATCTTAGGAGGTAGTGGATAAGGGTGCGGCTGTCGGGTCTTCTGCATAATGCACAAGAGAGTTGCTCAGGGGATGCGGGGATACCAATCTCCCAAGCAAAGTCATACCCAATGATGATACGGGCATTTTAAGCATCTCTACTTTTATGTTTTTACAATGAATGGTCATAGACGAGCAAAACTCATTCATCATAGCCACTGAGTTGGGTTAGGTTGGGTTGGGTTAGGTTGGCAGAAAGAATAATGAGCAGAAAGTCGAACAACAGAGTACCACAATGCAGGAAGACCCAATACGACTGAAGCAGAATAAACTTGTACAGTACAGTAATCTCCCCTGCACACCCCGGCGCCGCCCACCTGCACTTCACTCACACGAAATCTGTGTTCAATAGCCTTGACACACACACACAGTCACACTACCCAGGTGCATCATAGTTACAGTTTATCTTGTGAATAAAATGAGCTCTAGCTGAGTTTTTATCCACACACCATTTCGTATTTTATGCCGATTTTTATGAAGATTTTATTTAGCATACGTCATCATCATCATCATCATCATCATCATCATCATCATCATCATTATTATTTTCATACTCACGCATTTTAAACTCTAAATATTTAATCAAATATAGATGAGCCATTAGAAAACAGTTTCAAATACATAATGAATCATGATAATTTGTATTGTAATTAAAATATTTAATATATCTAATATTATCAGCTTTTTAATGCATAATTATATCTGATCATTTACATCACATATTGATTAATTAATCCTATATGTAATAATTGCTTACATTCATCATTTGAGTTATCCTTTACACACAGTGGGCGTCAACATAAACCACTTGTGTAATGAGATGATTTTTTGTTGTTTCTCAGCCCACGCTCACCAGCCTCACTATTACCCCAGGTCGGTTCTACTTTAACTCCCTGGAACAGCGTATACCAGGACAACCCAGAGTCTGTTCATGACCTCCGTGCTCGACCTACATGTTTACCGCCCTCACTCACACCACCTTGAGGGGTATAAACTACACCTGCTATCTTCTACTCCATTACTCTTCTGATTCTCCATGACCCGGCTAAGAGCAAAATAGATTAACTTACAGTACATATTGATGCTTTTGATCGAGACAAATGATTTAAGATATAACGTATTGTAAACAGAGCAAATCTTCTGGTATATTAATGAAGGATTTTAAGTTTTTGTAAGTGTTAAGTTTGCTATAATTATAATCTTATAGTCCGAGAATCTGTGCAAGTGCCTGGGGAGTATGAGGTCAGAACACGCGAGGGATGTGGTTAACGGTCTCAGACTGATAATGCAGTAATTAGTAGACCTGCAGCGGTGTTGGTGGTATTTGTATGTGGAGTGTGCGCGGGCGGCTTTTGTAACCAGTCCATGGACGATCTGCTGGTCCTCGTGTGGTAAGAACACTAACACCGTGGTTAGAGACTTGCACTTTTTGGCATTTATTGGCATGATTATGGCAAATGGTGACGTGCAAATAAGAGACTACTGATAGCTTCAACTTGTGTGAACTCCATGACTTAGCCTTTTCTAGACACTAAACTTTTCAATTCATAGTAACTAATGCATATTCATATTAAAGAGATGTAATATTTTTATTCAGATTTTCTCTGGCTCCGACTCTTATCCAAATTGCGTTGTAAGTTATATTTACATTTTAATAGTGATGCCAAAGTCGTGAACAGTGTTTATCCTTTATACTTTAGAGGATAAAGTTTAAAAGTAAACATCACAATTGTCTCTGTTTTGCAGATATGATGGAGAAGGAGGTCCAAGACGGCTTGGTGGTGTTGCGATCTTATCTAGAGTCGCTGCAGCTGACAAACGAATCAAATCCTCACAATGCCAATGGTTATAAAACCATACGGACTGATGGTCTTCCTCAAAAACAAAGTTTGACAGATCGCCCCAAGGCAAAGTGTTCTGTGTTTGCTGAAAATGATGACCAACATGTGGACACTAGGCAAGATACAGCTATGATAAGATGGAGTCCTCTCTACGGCCGCTACCTTGTGGCTGGACGGGACATCGCTGCTGGCGAAGTTATCCTTCAGGAGCAACCCTTGTTAATAGTTCCCAAGGCTGGCTCAGAGCCTACGTGCCTAGCGTGCATGAAGCCCTTGAAGCATGACTGGTTTGGTTGCAATAAGTGTAGTGGTCCTATGTGCTCGCCTCACTGTGATGGAAATTGTCATGGAACTGAGGAATGTAATCTGCTCCGACGCTTAAGCCTTAAAGAAGCGCCTCAAGTAGAAATTCTTATCAAGGAGCTGAGCATTATATTAGGGCCGCTGAGAGCGCTACTTTTAATTGAAAGATCACCGGCTGTGAAAAATATATTTCTGGCCTTCCAGAGCCACAAGGATGAGCGAAAGAAAATGCAGATCGGCCGCTTCGTAGAACATATAGCGGCGGTGATGCATACCCACTTAGGTCTGGACCTGAAATCTGAAGCTATCCATCACCTCTGTGGTGTGTTGGACACTAACGCTTTCGAAGTGACTTTAGACAACATCCGTCGAGGACGTGCTATCTTCGTGGCAGCATCGATGATGAATCACTCCTGTATACCCAATGCCCAGCGCTGGTACTCGGACGGAAAGATGACAGTGCGTGCAGCCATAGATATTCCTAAAGGTGCCCCAGTATTGATCAACTACACGCAGGCTCTGTGGGGCACTCGTGCACGTAATGCCCATCTGTCTGGCTGCAAAATGTTCACCTGCCAGTGTAAACGTTGTTCAGACCCTACAGAATTGGGCACTCACATGAGTTCTGTCCCGTGTCGGGAATGTTCCAGTAATACAATGCCTCCTAGTGACCCCAGAAGCCCCTGGAAGTGTCAAGTCTGCGGTACAAGCACAAGCGCGAGTGCCATTGAGGCGATGGTACGAGCTGCCGCAGTTGCCCTAAGCCGCATGTCCCGTGATGACGCTGAGGCCATCACCTCTACTCTGTCACATCTGAGCCGCATGTTAGGCAACACCCACTATGTTGTTGCTCAGGTTAAATACGTCTTCGTCCAGACTATCATGAAGCTTCCCTTAAAAGGTAATAATTTACAGAGGTGTGAAATAAATTAAATTATATTAACTGTAACTGCGTCGTTCTTCAGTCCCAATTTATAAATACAATTTGCTCTGTGAATTTTACCCAAAGAAACTTAGAAGATTTCCGCCAATAATAACAATAAACGACACTTTGGGGGAACGAACGAATAAAACATAATGATCTCTGCCTCAGGTGTGAGTTCAGCAGACCTGACTCGGGTCTTGGAGGTGACCACGGAACTGATGAAACTGACAGCTTGGGTTGAACCAGGAGTCACGCGATTCAGGGGTAAGTTATAGTGCCAGGATGTCGATGTTTGCGCCACTGTGATGTCGATGTTTGTACCACTGTGATGTTGATGTTTGTGTCACTGTTATGTCGATGTTTGCGCCACTGTGATGTTGATGTTTGTGTCACTATGATGTCGATGTTTGTGCCACCGTGGTCTCGATGTTTGTGCCACCGTGATGTCGATGTTTGTACCACTGTGATGTCAATATTTGCGCCACCGTGATGTCGATGTTTGTACCACTGTGATGTCAATATTTGCGCCACTGTGATGTCAATGTTTGCACCACCGTGATGTCAATGTTTGTGCCACTGTGATGTCATTGTTTGCGCCACTGTGATGTCACTGTTTATGCCAATGTGATGTCGATTTTTGCGCCACTATGTACCACATCCTCGAATTCAAACCATACCCTATCGGTGATACGGAATATTTTCAATATATTATCTTGAATGGATATTTAATCTACTTCTTTATTAATCTAATTAAAGTCGGGTCTCCCTTGGCTGGCCTCAGACATGAATTTACTAAATTTTTTTTTTTTCGCTAGTCAACACTCCACTCAATTGCAAAGTGTCATTACAAACTTTCATTAGTTTTATCACCTGCAATGTTGAGCACTCTGTTTAATACTGTTGCAAAAAGATGTACACACACACACACACACACACACACACACACACACACACAAGAATATTTGTTCTATCCTTCTCTCTCTGTATATTTTCCTCCCTAGGGTTACTCTTATACGATCAAACAAGAGTCTTGGTCGAGCTACTAGAACGGAACATGGCTGGTGAGGAAGAAGCCTCACACCTCACAGCTGCTTCCCATCCCCATACCGCCCAGGTACAACTCCTTGTTCTTCACACTACGTTCACCTCCCTCTTCATACTTCACCCACGCCTTGCATTAACTTTGTATTTTGTTCTCATGTAATTCCTCTCATAAGATACGTCATTCAAGCGCTACCTTATTTCATGTACTACACTTATTATATAAAATTTAATCCAATTATTTAAATCCATGGATCCAATTGACCTATTCTTAGTAGTATTGCCTTGACCTCTCCTGTCCTCTCACAACACCTGACCTCTCTTACTGATCAACAATTCATACATAATATTCTTCCCTGTAAATTCTAATCGACAACATTAACCAGACTCAGGTATGGTTCTCTGATCTACTTCGACTATATGGGCAGATATTCTCAGACCTGTTACATTTACCCGCTGCTTATGTTTACATTATATATGTCTAGAACAACTACTCAGTGCAGTAATTTGCCTGTTTGACCTGTAATTCTAGAGTAATTGAATAAGTAATGATGTTTCCCTTCAATTATAATTAAAAGGTATATAGCACAAAAAAAATCTTTAAAATTTGCTTGATCGAAACTTCCATATTACCACCCTGAGATATCAAATTATTATATATATTTTTCTAACGTTTATTTACAACACAAACTACGGAGTTTTTGATTATGTGAATTATTATTTCTTAACTTCAAGTTGCGTCAAATTTATATAAAAGGCGTGAAATTTGTATAAACTATCTTACATTCCACTAGAAACCACATTAGCTGTTTCCTTTTGTGTTGCAGGCTCTATTATCACAAGCGGCTGAGTGTGCCCACCTGCTGCAATACGACCCCCTGCTCCTGGATGTGATGCAGCTCATCCAAGAGCTGCGTCGTCTCCTGCACACACCAGAACATAGAGCAGCTTCACCAACTAACTCCCAACACAACCTCACAGAAGAATAGAGTTTTAAATTCCAGATGGAGTGAATTTTGTTTTCACATTTTTAATATCCCCGTTTAGCGGAAAGTATAATCTTATGCTGCAGTCTGTCTGAGGTTCCATGTCCCGTCATGGAAATTCCCAATAGATTTAGGGGTCACAAGATCAAAGGCCGGTAAAAGTGACATACGGGTTTCTGAGCTATAACACGAGTTTCTTTATACCGATGCATATATTCGCCTTGCTGCTGTGTAGAGACATTTCCTTATTGATTTTGGGAACGCTGGGTGGAAGGTCAAGGCTTTTGTCGTTTATATCAAGATTTGGGTTTGAAAACTGTAATAGGAGCTTCCAAGCACCGATGAACATGATACTGCAGCTTGCCCATAATCTCGAGTTCGGGGTCACAGGATCAAAGGTCAACGTGATTGTCAAAAGGCGATCTTCACATGTACTGTACATAACTCCCCTATGGACCATGCTTAACTCCTGGATAATATTACCTGGGTGATTACTGTTACTCATATGTTGTTACTATTGTCTGGAGTGTATAACAGTATGACGGCGTCTGTCTACCTCGCTCTTAAGACTTTTGTTTGTGCACAGTAAGTTTTTTATTCCATATCACAGTCTTCTGTCATGCTTTACAACATAAAGTCTGTTGGGTTACACAGCCGCCTACCGATATGGTCAGAAAATCAAAGGTCAAGTGTATTGTGAGCCCAAAGGTCATTAATTTGACAAAACAAAACCAAGATTATATCACTGACTGTGTTTCGAAGTTGCTGTAACTGTAATCCTGTTAACACATAGCTACAGTGTTGCTTTGTGTGTGTGTTACGTAGTCTCCAACTGAACACAGCCATGAGACAAGTATACATAAAAGCATTATTCGCTTGACAAACAGGTAGAAATATAACTTCATTATAACATGGTTTTAGTGTCAGGTTTATTTCCTATAAACAGAATCTTCATTAGGATGCTAGGAATGTGTATGATACTTAAGCTACATTCCCATTTGTTTTTGTGCTCAGAGGAATAAAATATCGATACATTTTACCACTTTCGAGTAACACAATTTAGAGGATATTCAGTTTGTAATATTGTCATAACATATATATAAATATTTTCTGAAGCTTTGTGTTTTATGTCCCTTTAATTGTAAGCTGTCACAATATATTACTGAGTGCTATCAGGTTCTTACTTGCAAATGAGTTTTTGATGGTGTTATATTTTCTAAAAAAAAAAATCTTATGCATAAATAATAAAAATTCTTAAACACTCTTACGGGTCTTTTATTGTCTTTAAATTCAACACGAATAATATTTCTTAATATAATCACTCGGCAGAATTAAATATGACTTTATATGGTTGTGTATAAACTGTGTAAATTATATATGCTGTATATATAAAATAGTAGTAGTACCCCCCCACCCCCCCCCCCACCTAAAAATACAAGGGTCAATAATGAAGGGAAATGATGATACCTGGCAGAAGTAGGTAATCTGCTTAATGCTAATAATCGTAGCTATTACAGTAGGCTCTACAGAGTGATGAACAGAGCAGTCATAACTATAAATGGAGATGTAGATTGTTGTTAAGGCCTGATATATGTACGGGAACTGGAGGGAATATTGTGAAGACCTGTCGAATATTGGTGAGTAGAAGAGACAAGACTAACACCAACCGGGGACTAGAATGAAGAGAGTTGGCATACTAAAGTGAGCACTGGAGGGGGATGGAGTGTGGAGAGGTGATAGAGGTAATAAAATGAGAATTATGGTAAGGGGATCAGGTGATCAGAGAGACGCCGAGGGAGGGGAAGGTAAGGTACAGCAACAACACATTTCCCTACTATATTTGTGAACACTTGAACGTAGTTAAGAGTACCGAGGGTTAGGCTGTAGGTAAGAGATTATGATCTTATAGAGGAGAAAGAGAGTCCAGAAAATGCATGCTATAATGTGGCTTAATTAAAGTACCTGGTCAAAGGTAAAGGTGCATGAGAGTAACCTGTAGAAGTAGTGTAAGATAATCTAGGTAAGGTTAGGTTAGGTTAGGTTAGGTTTAAACGAAGGAAAATGACTGCATGACAAACGAACATATAGTGGTGATAATAGGAAAGAAAGACAAGACTAAAAAAGAGTTATTCAAAGATTATTTTTATTTTAAGAACAGACAAAAACGGATATGGAAGAGTGAACAAGAATAGACCAAGGGATGTGTAAGGGTTTTTGTTTGTTTTTTGTTTTAGGTATTTGTGTGTTTAAGCTGTCAAAAGTTCACGAAAAAAATATGAAGGGTCTAGTGAATGTAACTGAATAAGCTTAATTGTGTCTAGGGTTGATATAAAGGGTGGCTTATTCTCCCAACAATAATCATGGGTGAGGCTGTGAGGAAAGACTTGATAATTGATATGAATAAAACACAAATTTAAAACATATAAAGGTTAGTAAACACGCCACTACAAAGAACTTACTGTGCGTCAATAAGTGGAAACACAGAAATACAAGACCAAGTAAAACATTACACATCAGGAGGCTGGAATCGACTCGTAATGAAAGCAAAGAGAAATTGATTGTCTGTGTGTGCAGGGAGACAGTGTGTGAGATGAGGTTAGATGGGGGTGGGGGAGGAGACCTGACTGGAGAGCCCCAACACAATCTGGCAGTAAACATGCGTGCACCTGGCCTGTACTTCCCTGGGAGGTTAGGTTAGGTTAGGTTAGGTTAGGTTAGGTTAGGTTAGGTTAGGTTAGGTTAGGTTAGGTTAGGTTAGGTTAGGTTAGGTTAGGTTAATAGTCATTACCAAATGCCTCTTGTCAGTACCTACGTCTAGATCTAAGTCATTATTTATTTTATTTGTGTTTATAATCTAATATCTCTTTCATATCTGTATGTGTGTGTGTGTGTGTGTGTGTGTGTGTGTGTGTGTGTGTTTTACCTACATAGATATTTAGAGCAAAAATGAGAGACAAAGGATAACAAAAATTCTCAGGTGAGGGGAAAAGTGGTAGAGAAAAAGTTAGATGGAGACTGGCCGACAGGTAAAGAGAGATAGAGGACAGGCCGACAGGTAAAGAGAGATACAGGCCGACAGGTAAAGAGAGATACAGGACAGGCCGACAGGTAAAGAGAGATACAGGACAGGCCGACAGGTAAAGAGAGATACAGGCCGACAGGTAAAGAGAGATAGAGGACAGGCCGACAGGTAAAGAGAGATAGAGGACTACAGGCCGACAGGTCCCATACAGTCAGACAGGAGAGTTACTAAAGCACTGTTCACCATCATAATATATATCTAAGTCCACGTGATAACTATACGTTTTCTTTTATATCATAATTAATTGGTAAACTTAACTAAAATATCCAGTGATTTATCATAAAAGTACAGTAATTATTGATTATAAATGAACTTACAGGAAATATTGAACTCTCTTATTGCACTATGGATAAATGTACCTGTACCCCTCAAGGATAATATCTCTTTCGTATGCGTTTGGGAAGTCGTTCAGTTCGACGCCTATCATTGCATACATATTATTAGGAAGATATTATAAGGAAGTCTCAATTACCCATTAAAGAATAAATACCGCCCTAAAATATGTCCCTCATACGTGGTGTATGTATTGAAGGAACATTTTTTTCAGACCTTATTTTTCTGTGAATGTTTGGATAACTTTGTGACAATTATATGATCTCTAAATTAAAATAATTTTTCTACATACTTAAAAAAAATCATAACCTAACTTAACCTTACACAATATTTATTCACAACACCCCCCCCCCCCAATAAAACACAATGAATTTAGTTCCCCTTTAAAATAGAAAACAATAAGAAGAAAATTACAAATTACTTAAGTTTCTCAAAGACAAAAAAAGTAATAAATATAAGAATACTAAATCAGAGGAAAAATGAGTTTTGTACAATAGTCAAAAAAAAACCAGCAGTCATCGTGGTGTGTTTTTCAGCAAGGAGGAGAGCGAGCTGTCTGGAGAGCCACTCAGGACAGTCTTCCTCTCTATACGACACTCTGTATCACCCGTGACACTGGAAATAACCGGAGGAGTGTTATGGTATAGAGAACTTAGTAGCGCTTACGAGTTATTTAGGACAGTTAGATCGCTGAGTTTCAGGTTCTGTTGAAGAGTAAACTTTTGTCTTTCTCGTTTTCTGAAATACAATAACTGTTTCGATCGTTTTTATTATAGGTATTTTGTCGGCCGCTCAATTTTTTTTTTTTTTTTACGATTTACAAGTTTTTCATATTATATTTCCATTAACTGATGTGATTTAAATGCCAATAGGTTGAGTGTGACAAGGTTGTGAGTAACGAGATTGAGAGTGACGAGGTTTTAAGTAACGAGATTGTGAGTGACGAGGTTTTAAGTAACGAGGTTGTGAGCTACATGTTAATTTACTGGTGAACACGGTAAAATTGTGAACTTTTAAGTGTTTTTGACTCAACAGAAATAGTTTAATCGTTTTATCCTTCTTTCAGCATCATCACCCGCTTGACACATTTTCTGAAAGCCACTGTGACTGTTACTGACACAATATTCCCCCCAAAACGACTTACTATCTACGTCATATAAATTATACTAATAAAAAAGCTGTAGAAACTGTAGGAGAGTGGGAGGGTCTGGTTCCTGGGTATTTTATTTCAAATACATAAAAAATATATATAAAAGTATAAGATTGAAAGACATGAGTTTTCATTCATTAATAACTTGCAAATTATTATTATTTATTTATTTTTTTTTATTGCATAGTTCTGACAACTTTTATCCATATATAATTTCTTAACATTTAAATCCCACACTTAATGACTTCATTCCTCCACAAACTGTAAGCATACTGGTAGATATCCTTGTTTATTCATTAGCTTTCATCCATTATACCACCAACTGGCTAAACATTGAATTATAATAGCCTAAACATACTATTCACACACTTCTATATCACATTATGTCTGTAAATGATTCCTTTGAATTTAATCCTTTTAGCTGGTATTTAATTTATC